TTGATCTAGATTTATTTCATTATATACTAAAAGGTTGTAAAAATCAAACTTTAAATTTTCTTCCAAATAGATGGTCACTTGTCCTTAAAATATTTTACTGAATCTATCCTTTCCTCACTGAATTAAAATCTGTCTTTGGTACAAATTACTCATGTCAGTATATGTATACACACTAAATCTGATTCTCATTTCTTGTGATAGTTATGTTCTATAAATCATTGTCCTTAGAGGAAATACAGGGCTAGGCTTCTGGAAACCTTTACCACAGTTTACAGCCAGTCAACAAACTTTGTTTTATGTATGTTTCTGTTTAAAGATCCCATATTTAATATATATTACTGATTTATTAACATTAAATTCACAATCAACAACAGTAAGTGTATCAAACATATTTTCTCTGTAAGGCACATTACAGCCAACTTGCACTCAGGAAGACTAGCAGTGCTTTAGTAATATACTTGGGATATAAAGTGATAGACTATTTTTCAGAGCTGTTTTGGATTCACAGCAAAATTGAGTGGGGAAAAACAGAGAATTATCATATGCCTTCTGACCCATGCATGCACTTCCCTTCCTTGGGGGCTCCTTTAAACAGCAAAATCACCAACAAAAAGGACAAAAATGCCCCCCAAACGTGGCACTAAACAGAAAGAAAAGGGATACTTGTTTACAGTGTAAGAAGTGAAACAAAAAGGCAGAGCTTTGCCTAGTCCCACCTCAGCTGGGATTTGCTACTCTACAGTGACTACAAAGGCACCCTGAGTATTGATTTGGGGTATATAAGGTAATTTTAGGAAGTAGTGAATTTGCAAATAGGAATCTGAATAATGAGGATTGACTTTACTATGTTAATTACAGTAGCTTATAGAATGATTTAATATCTGGCTAAGCAAGCCCCTTCATTTCTTTTTTAAGAATTTATTGCTTATTGTCAGGCGCTGGTGGCTTACGCCTTTAATCCTAGCTACTTGGGAGTCTGAGATCTGGAGGATCATGGTTCAAGGCAAGCCCAGGCAATTAGTTAATGAGACCCAATCTCAAAAATAATCAGAGGAAAAAAATGGACTGGAGGTGTGACTTAAGCAGTAGAGTATCTGCTTTGTAAGCATGAAGCCCTGACTTCAAACCCCAGTCCCACCAAAAATTTTTAAAATGTACTGACTAACTGCGTAGGGAAAATAAAATTACACTCTTTCCAGTCCTTACCTCCTTATGCCTGGTGTGGGCGGGAGGCTCCAATCTACTATAACCCATGGGCAGTCAGGAGAGGATCCTCTGGTCTATCATGGGCCCAGTATGTCACACAATATGCTTTGTGTTTCTGTGCCTGGAGGGAGTGTCCTTTGTAGCCAGTGACCGTACTTTGGAATTCACTTGCATTGCTCAGGATATCTTAGGCAGATGATCCTGTTCAAGTTACATGAAATTTATTCATATGTGTCTGTGTGTGTGTGTATAATTTTGAGGAGACTTGCTATCCTTATATTTAGTCTTCTTACCCAGAATTATAGCACACTTATGTATGTATGTATGTATGTATGTATTTATTTATTGCAGTTCTGGGGTTTGAACTCAGGGCCTTCACCTTGAGCCACTCCGCCAGCCCTTTTCTGTGATGTGTTATCTTGAGAGAAGGGCTTGAGAACTGTTTGCCCGAGCTGACCTCAAAGCATGATCCTCCTGATCTCTGCCTCCTGAGTAGCTAGGATTACAGGTGTGAGTCACTGGCTCCTGGCCTTATTTAATTTATTCAGGTCTTCATAGTTTTATCTTTCTTGCTAAATTTATTGCTAGTTATTATGAATCAGATCTTTAACTGATTATGGCTAGTAGAGTAAGAAAACTACTAATTTCTTTTTTATTTTTTTGAGATGAGGTTTTGCTGTGTAGCCTAGCATGGCCTCAAACTCCCAATCCTCCTGCCTCAGCTTTCTAAACAAATGGAATTACAGGTGTGCAATTACCATGCCTGTCTAGGAAGCTGTTGATTTTTATGTATTAAGATACTGAATTTTATATCGTTTTATCTTAAGTTCTCTTTTTACTACTAACATTTGTTCCCTTGAGTTACTTAGACCTTTAGGGATCACTATCCCCAGATTTTTCTTTTTCTTTCTTTTGTTTTGGCAGTACTGGGGTTTGAACTCAGGGCCTTGTACTTGCAAGTCAGGAACTCTACCTTTTGAGCCACACCCCAGCCTATGTTTTTATTTTCATTCCCAAGATACTGTCCTATTCTTTTTTTCTTGATTTTCCTTCCCAGGGTCTTCTCCCTAAGACATTTCCACCTGGAAATCCCAAGACTATCTGAAGCTCAAAGTAAAATTAAAATGAAATGAGTTACAGACCTGGGAGTGTAGCTGAGTGGTAGAGTGCTTGTCTAGCATTATCAAGACCCTGGGTTCTGTCCCCAGCACCACAAAAACAAATACCAGCAACTAAGTCACAGCTAAAACATCAGAGCTGCTTGCTGCTGGTCCATGAAGCACATTTGTACAGATTAGAGAAAGGTTCCCTTTCTTCTGACTCTTTACCCTGGTCTCCTGGGAAGATTGGCGTAATAAACTGATTCTGTTAGAAAAGGATGTGCTGCCATAGGAAATGCCCCATGCTGGCATGCTGTGCATGAGTTGTCCTTGAGCCTGTATACTCATTCACAGAAGCACCGCTCAGACCTCTAGATCTCACCCTCAGTGCCCCTGCATCGTCCCTTTCTTCCCAAGCTACTGCCTAGTTTAGATTCTTTATGTTTCGCTCCTTGCCAGTGTTTCTCCCTGGAAAAAGGACAAAACCAAACCTTTTTTCTCTCTTTTGGGACACCCTAATCACAGCCCAGAATAATTTTTCTCAAATATCAGCAAAACCCTACTCAAAAGCAGTGCTTTTTTAAATATTAAAATTTATATCAGCAACTGTCTTGGGATTTCAGGAAAATAGAGTGGAATTTAAAACCTAAACAGTTTTGTTAAACCTAGTAACATGGAATTAGTTTTCCAAAAATACTAAAGATTCTGAAATTTCATGTCTTGGGGAGATGGCAGTACATTAAACCAAAGTTGAGGATGGATGATTAAAATAATACATTTCCATTTGGAATAATAAAAAGAAAATTGAAGAATAAGAGAAATTATAATAAAACAAAACAGGGCTTTTGAAAATGATGGTACTTCATTTCCTCTCAGGAGAGTCATGTTCTTCAGCCCTTAGAAGCCCTCCTCACCTCTTCCTGTGCAGCCCTGTCCCCTTACCCTCCATCTCTTCCCACCACACTCAGGCTCCTCAGGAACTTCTGTCACTCTACTTTCATCAAGGACACCTTCTCAGTGACCCCTGATGGACACTAAACAATGTGGTCTTCAGAGATGACTAGCATGGGCTTGGCACTCAGTACAGTAGCTTCCTTCCCTTCCCTTCCCTTCCCCCACAGCTGCTTTGGAAACTGAAATGCTATATTATTGTGATTGTTTTGCTTCTTTGTGTGTGCACAAAGTTCTTGTATTTTGCAAGAATTCATCATATTTGATCCCTCATAAGGAACATGTGAAAATATTCTAGGAGGAAAAAGTACATGACTTTGCAGTCTCAATGTGTCATTAAAACAGGTGGCACTAGAGGGCTTTTGACTGGTCCTGGAGTTCTGTGAGGGAAAGATCCCCTCTCAGGAGAGGGGTGCCCAGTAGTTCGCTTGTTGACAATTTGCCTGCAGACCCCAACTGGAAGTGCAGGTGCTGTCTGCAGGAGATGCAGGGGGTGGGGGTGGGGGGGAACAGAGAACAAAGGCAGCCAGCCCCCCATTTCCCCACCACACCACACTGCCTTAAAGAAAACAAAATGTTTATTCTGATTACAGAAAATGTTTTGTGAGTAAGAGTCAGTTTCCAAGAGAATTTAATTCATTTAAAATTTTTTCTGTGTTTTGACCACATTTGGTTGTCTGTTGCCTTTTTTTCTAGGCTCTCTCCTGATTGATTTCCACTGGGTTTTAATCAGAACCATCTTGTGAAACGTTTTAGATTCAAATTAGAGTTTAAAACAAACACAGCTCTTAGAGAACACAGATGAAACCCAAAACGGAACAAAAAGTAAACACGAAATAACGAACAGCATTATAAACAAGACATTGTTGGAGAGAGGGAACAGAGAGAAACTGGGAAAGGCTGTGGAGAAACAGGACCCGACCCAGGGAGTTGCCAGCCCAGGGAAGGGTGTCAGAAGTAGGCTAGCACTCACATCAGGATCTGGGGGCTCTTCCACCTCTCACCAGCCTACTGACCTTGGGGTTAGAAACACTGGTAGTAGTACCATCCCTTCTGAGCTGGGGTGGACACTGTCTTATGGGCAGAGGCAATTCACTGTACACCAAAGATGGCCTCCTGAAAATCCTGTCTCTTTCTGTCCCTTCATTCTTCTGTGCCCTTTCCTCACTCTTCTTTCTCAGAGATGTTCTGGGCCCCGCTTGTGCTTGTGAACCAAGGTGCACACCAGTATGCAAGAAGATGTGCATCAGGGTGTATCAGTGGTGTGGGAACACCCTTTCCACCTGCCTCACCCCGTGTACTGTAGACATTTCCTGTGCATGGGTTATGGGTTAGGAAACATTTGGAGAGCTCTATTGCTGTATGTTTTTCCCCACTGTTATGCTTTATTTATTGGTTTGATTTTGGAAATAGATGTACATGTTAACAGATAGTTTCCACAAAGAAGAGAAAAGTATACAGAGAAAAATAGCTCTCCTTCCCTCCCTGTCCCCTGGGCTGTCTGCTCCCTCCTCAAAGGCTATTTCACATGCACCTTTTCAGAAGTCTCCAGTGTGTATCTTTGCAAAAAATTATGATACCTTTCTTGTCTACTTTTGCTCTCTAGCAAAAAAAGGACAACCAGTTTTCATGTAGAACTGTTTCAAAGGAGAACTAACATCTGCTTTTGCTCGTGGACCTTATGGGCTTACTAGCTGTCCTTCCTTTGCTTATCTGCTTTATTTGTGACATTTCCTGTCTCAGATTTTGACCCCTGGTGGACAAACGACTGTGAACAGAATGAGACAGACCCCATTCCTACCAACTGCACTGGCTGTGCTCAGAAATTACCCCTCAAGGTAATGCTTTCAGAGGACACCCCCCAAAACTTTGAGAGACTCCATCCTATGGTGATCAAGGTAAGCATGAAGCCCAGTTCTCCTGTGGGCTGGCTACCCATTTAAAGGTTAGATCAAGCTGTATGAAATTTGTGATAGTAAACTCTGTTTTTCTTTTCATTTCTGCCTCACCAAGACGGGACAATCCCTGTTGTCTGAGGAGATTCAGCATTTTTTGTGTCAGTACCCTGAGGTAACAGAAGGCTTCACTGAAGGGTTTTTCGCCAAGTGGTGGCGTTGCTTTCCTGAAAGGTGGTTCCCGTTCCCATACCCGTGGTGAGTGTGACAGGGCACTTATGTTTAGGAAAGGGACAGAGGGATGTCAAAATAGTGAGGGCCACCACTCAGCTCCTGGCATGGTCACTTCACAGCCTAGCCTTCATTTTAAGTCAAGAGAGAGGAGCTCACAGATAAACCAGCGTGAGAGATGAAGGGGAAGAATGGAACAGGTGTGTTGAAAGCGGGTGGTTGCACCATGGGGAAACACTAGATTGCCTGATAGAATCATAATTTACTTCTAAGTATGTGCTTAGCATTTATGCTTGTGGAGAATGGGCCTGAGCATTGAGGGCTCAAGAGAGCAAGAAGATTGAAGGAGAAGCATTTCCTGGCACTTGATTGTGCCAGGCAGTGTGGCCTGGTACTGGTTGCTCATTAGTGACACTCATCAATGATAGCTCCAGGAAGTAGAGGTTATCACTGTCATTTTTCATATCAGAAAATCAGAAATCAAAGAGGTTAAGTAATTTACCCAAGCTCACCCAGCCAGGATAGAAATCTGTTTGTTTCTAGTTCCTTCCTGTGACCTAAAGAAAATATGGTTCATTCCTTGCTCTCTAGCAAGAAAAAGAAAGCCAGTTTCCATGTAGAACTGTTTCAAAGGAGAGCTAACATCTCCTTTCCAGGCTTTTTGGGGGGATTTCTTAAGGCTTCCACCTTTCTTTAAACTTGCCATTCATTTGTATGATAGAATGCTAAGTTTAGTAAGCTATCAGGCTTCCAACTGTGTCCCACTCCCTTCTCTCTTCCTTCCTTCCTTCCCCTTCATGGCTGCTGTAACGTTAGTCTCTTTTTCTAAGGTAAAAAAAATAGATTGTTTCTTTCCTTCCTCTATATGTTGTTTTAGCTGGACTTTATAAGCATTCCACACACATGTACAAATGGTGGCTGTAGATTTGATTTGTGTGTGCTCGAGCATATTATAATTCATTAATTCAGACAACCATTCTCTGTGGACCTAGTACTTAAGACATTGTTCTGCTGTTTTCCCCCCTTTATCTACCACTCCATTCCCCACCCCTGCTTTGCCTTGTGTTTCAGGCAGATAGACTGGCTCACTTCTTTTAGTGACTTTTTTTCTGTTTCAAACGTTACAGGAGACGACCACTGAACAGATCAGAAATTTTACATGAAGTTTTTCCTGTTTTTACCCACCTGCCATTTCCAAAAGATGCTGTCTTAAAGAAGTGCTTCCTTCTTCACCCAGGACCTGTTGAGGGGAGTAAGGTAGGACATTTTGAGAGGACTTGGATCTAGAATTTTCCTCATGTGGGAACTGGACTGATGTCATAATCAGAGCCTTTCCTGCATATTGATTTAGAGAGTGAATTGAGGGAACACCCATAGAATCTAGAGTTCTCCCTCCTGCTGCTGTACAGGAGACCTACATGGCTCACCCTACTGTGAAGGTATGCTTCTAGAAAGTTGCCTTACCTTGCAGATCTGTTTCCTTCCATTAACACATGGAGACAAGCTACTTTTCTGCCTTTAAGGTAGTAAATCCTAAAATTTAAAGGGACTTGAATGAGCAGATAGTTTGACTTCTCTGCCTCAAATTTGAAAGTAGACAGGCTATAAATGAATAGTAAGTAAATGAATAGTCCAGCTTCTTCATTTTGTATATAAGGAAATAGAATAGTGGAGAGATGAAATGATTTGCCCAAGGACCCAGAGCAGATTAATGGGACTCTCCAACTCCCACCTCCAGGTGGCCTTCCAGAAATAGGCAAAGAAACTTCAGGTAGAGAACTGAAAAGGAAAAAGCTTGGGAGCATGGGGAGGGTTTGCTAGGCATATGCCAGAGGAGGCAGCCCCTCAACCTCATGCTTTCCCACAGTGGACCTGGAAAAGCTGTTCTGTGTTTGTGTCTGTTTACTTTTGTCTGAATTGTTCCTTTGTTGAGTCCCATTCCTGAGGAAAGGTTTTGAACTTGATTGGTTTGGGAGACTTAAAAGGATAAATTTTTCTTTGTACAAAAAAAAAAAAAATTGCATTTCTCAGTCTGTGACCCTCTACCACCTCTGGGTTGTGTCTTCAACTTCCTGATACTCTTACTTGGCTCCAAATTTGCTGAATTGTGTTGAAGGAATTTAAGAACTTATAAAAATAATCACTTTGTCTAGAAGTAAGAACTTTGTCTGCCAGCAGTCGGGAGGTGCTGGGCTCTTGCCTCAGACTACGGGAGTTTATCCTGCTGTCTCGGCTAGAACTTAGAACTTTGATATGATTTCATCTTCACAATTATGATATAATTCTGGGCGAGGGCCTTCATTTTTATCTTGATTTTCCCATTTGAATATTGAAGTTAATTTCACCATCCTGTTCAACACCAAGGAACCCAGCCAAAGGAATAAATGCAATTAATGAAATGCTTATCCAAGTTATCCTGTGTGGTTCTCAAGGATGTTTGGAGAAGGGGAGTGGCTCCAAAGACAAAAATCCTGGGAGTCTGATTATTTGGAGCATCTGTTTACCCACCCTGGCCTCAGCTCTCCTTTCTCCTAGTCTCCTTACTCCACCCTGCTGTCCACCTCCCCATCCCCAGGCCCTAGTAAAGTCTGTGGGCCCAGCACTCCAAGGCATCCTTGGAATAGAAGATAAGAGGTAGAAATCTGGTTATTACACGGCACAGGGGAAAAAGGTCTGGGGCCCCAAGACCCCCTTCTCCCACTCCACAGTGTTGCCTAGAGCTGGCCCAAGCCCTCCTCTTGTCTCTATATCCTAGTCATGGAGGAATGTGACCCTGCCCCCTTAGGCCTACAGAAGAGTGATACAGCCACTTGTTTTTTGGTCTTGTGAGATTTTTTTCAAGACTACAGCTGTCAGAACTTCTGCAGATACTAGTACCAGTCAGCTGTAGGATAGCTCAAGGCACCAGACCACCTCCTGTCACTATAGTCACCAGTGAAATGGCTCTCTTGTTGCCAGAGTCCTGACCAGTATTAGGAAAAGGGGAATATGAAGCCAAAACCTAAGGTTCCAGAGGCCAAGAGTAGTGAAGAAAAAATCAGGACATGGTTCAGGGAGTCAGACTTGTGACCTCTGCTTTTTATGGACAGGGTTTCCCTGAAGGACAGGAGTTAGGAGGAGAGGGCGGGGAGACTCTAAGGTTTTCTCTCACCATGAATCTGAGAAGAAAAGCCTGAGCAAGACCCACTTCTCCCTTTGTCCTATTCCCTGCTGTGTCAGCCCCTGGCCCAGGGCTCACAGACAGCCTCTTTTCTGGCACATTGCAGGATTCCCTCAATGCCAAGTGGTGGCAGCAGCTACCTGTGCAGGTGCATGTCCTGCTTGTTCTTCATGTTTTCAGAATCACAGGCCAGGCTTACTGTCACTGGTTTTTATTAGTAACATGGCATATCTGCCTACCTGAATCTTGCCAAAGAGTGTAAACTTGAATTTGCCACTGTGCAATTCTTATCAGAGCCCAAAAAGTGTGCTGGTAAAGTGGCTCAAGTGGTAGAGCGCCTGCCTTGCAAGCATGAGGCCCTGAATTCAAATGCCAGTACCGCAAAAAGAAAAAAAGAAAAAAAAAAAAGAACCCTAATAGTGATATGCAGACTATTTATTTAACAAGTTCCTTAAACTAGACCCTGAGAAGATTGTATACTTAGACCATCATGTGTTGGCCTCTGCTAGGACCGCTTTGTTGAAGTCAATGAGTGGACTCAGAGGTGTAGCTTAGTGGGAGAGCAGGTTCATTTCCAACACCAAAAAAAGAAAAAGTCACAATGAGATATTTTGTCTCGCTTTGAAGCTGTGACTCAAAATAGCTGCAAATTATGAAGCTCATGCAATATTTTCTTTGGGACTATCACTGATGATGTTGCCCATAAATCATACAGTGTCTCTTTAGAAGAATCCATCCAAGAGATTTTACCCTGGTCTCAGTACTGGGTGATGCCATGCTTGGGAGAAACTAGTTTGTTTTGTCTTTTGGACAGAATTGTAAATGTTATTATTGGTTCTGTTTTCCTTTGTTTAGACTGGTAGGAAAGTCAAGCCCTATGTGTAAGGATTTCTGTGTACTAATTGCCCCAGGTTTTATTTCTGTCTTCTTTTCCTTCCTTTCTTTACCCTTGTTCTTTCTTCTAGATGCATAAGGTACATGAGCTCTTTGCCGTTGGCAGTGGTGAAGCCATGCTGCAGCTCATCCCTCCCTTCCAGTGCCGAAGACACTGTCAGACCATGGCCATGCCGATAGAGTCAGGGGACATTGGTATGTAGGGTCCCAGGAGGGCAGGGGCAGCTGAGGGATCTTTTTAGGTTTTTATTTTTGGTGGGACTGGGGTTTCAATTTAGGGCTTTGCACTTGCAAAGCAAGTGCTTTACTTACCACTTGAGCCACACCTACAGTCCCTTTTTAGTTTTTAACTCAGAAAATATTCTAAGCATCAAATTCTGCCTTCACAAAAGTTTTATTAAGTTGAATAAAAAATAGCATTATTTTATTAATGGGGTCAATGTATTTATGCTTAGAAAAAACAACTAATGTATTAGAGAGAAATGTCTTGTACAAACAGCACTTAGAATGCATATGTCTGTTGGTCATAGAAACTTCAAGTTAGAAGGGATTTCAGAGAATATTTAGGCCAATCCCCCATTTTACAAATGAGGAGGTAGAGATGTGACTCCTCAGTGCCCCAATAACAGTTGGGCAAAGCCTCAAGTCTCATGTGTCTGCCTGAGCTAGGTATGCCAAGGGAAAGATAATTCAAGATTAAAGGAAAGCCTTCATTTACCTATATTGCAAATAAAACAGTGCAGAGCCATATGTAAGGGTAACAGTTACACAAGGAAAAAGTTAACTCCTGTGTGGGTTCTACAGCCAAGTCTCGGCCTCACATCAATGACTCATCTTCATTCTAGCTCCATGTTTTCCCAACTGAGACTTGTTCTGTGCCTTATATCCTAAAAATCTATTCCAAAGAAGCAGGTTTGTATTAGCCACTGTCAACACCAATCAGTTTGACAGCAGTGTTCTCGGCAGAAGCAAATATGTCAGGAAGTATCACCACTGACCTCTTTGTTTACCCTGCCTCCCAACCCCGGGTGAGGCCAGGTGTCCCCACAGGACCCAGACTGATTTTTCAATTGATTTTGTTTAATTTTGGCCATTCATAAGACCCTGAATTCCTAGAAACCTCTCATCTCACTTAGGGATAGGGAGCAGACTGCAAATTGTGCCAAGCTTTAATTTAAATTATATAACCTTTATTTCAATTTAGGAATTAAAATAATGTACAAATTAAACGTTAACTGATAATGGAGCACAGTTGGTCCAGCCCTTGTGAGACTCCTATGAGAAAGGATCCTTACATGGAAATTATGTTAAACCTATTTTCCTATAGGGGAATGACCCTTATACTAGGGGTGACTATCAAAAAAATCCATACTGCATGTTTGGATTTAGGTTCTGTTTTATGGTTTACAAATGCCTCACAGTTCAGACAGCTACAGAAACACATTAGTTATTCAGTTCCAAATTTCTAGCTCCCACAGCATCCAGAATGCCAACTGTAAAATTTAAAAAGAATAAAAGGCCAGTCACATGGTGGGGGTATGTAGGAGGGACGAAAGACTGAAGAGAAGAGCATGCCTGGGAGAATAGAGAAAGGAAGGTGGAAGGACAGTAGGTACCTGAAGCCCTGGCAGGAATAGAACTGTGCCTGTGGCTGCTGCAGTAGGGCAGGAGTGTGGCCTGACAATGGAGAAGGATAACTCAGTGTCAGGTCCAGTCCCCTTAGGGACACGTAAGAATGGCACTGTGAGGATCTTTGCTCCTATTTCCTGCATGGGGAACAGGAAATGCTTCTCGCTCTCTCTCTTTTCTCCCCCCATTCCTCTCCTAATAAACTTTACTTTTACTAAAAAAAAAAAAAAAAAAAAAAAATAGCACTGTGACAAGCCAGTTCTGTGATTTTTGGCAAAATACTTATTGTCCTGTGGAGGTGGAGGAGAGTGGGTTAGAGTTCACCAGAAAACCTTGGAGTAGAGATGTTTTCAAGGGTGACATAGGTTGGGCACAGCATCTGCCATCACTATTCAGTACAGCCACTGCGCATTGTACCTTTCCCAAGCCACTAAGTAAAGATTTAATGCTGTCCAGTGCTCTCAGTTTAAAGACAGGTGGGGCCATCATACTCGAGAATATGTTTCATTAAGATTTTTTATTTGGTTTTAAATTTTACTGTATTATGGTTCAAAGAAAAAAATCTAACACAAGGGCTACTTATTTGATTGATTGATTGATTGATTTTGAGACAAGGTCTCACTGAATAGCCCAGGCTGGGCTGGAATTTGCTGTGTAGCTCAGGCTGGCCTCAAACTCATAATGCTCCTGCCTCAACTTTCTGAGTGCTGGAATTATAGGCATGTGCCACCACATCTGGGTATAGATCTACTTTTAAAAAATTTTTTAAAGTATTGGACAGTATTTCTAACCTTAGACATAGTGATGAGCACCATGAGATTTAAGTATTGAAGGGTTTAGGTTTACCTTCCTAGCCCCCAGAAATGATACATGTCTGCATTTCCTAAACAGTTCTTTGGCTCACTCATGAGCCCAGGGATGGGAACAGCCCCCTTGGAAAAGCCAGTGGCAAACAGAGTCCTTGAGTCAGTGGACTTTGGAAATACCCATTTCATTAATACACAGTGCAAACTGTATCAAGGGCTCTGAAAAGGCTTAGAGTAACCTAGTATTCTTTGGAATACTTTATAGGACAGTATTTGTTATGTTTTGTTCTGGCAGTACTGGGGTTTGAACTCAGAGCCTTGTGCTTGCTAGGCAGGTGCTCTACCACTTGAGCCCCTCTGCCAGCCCATGTAGAGCACTAATGTTTAGGTTAATCTGGATGTGTGAAAAGAAACCACATTGGAGATAAGCGCAGGAGAAATGAATAGTTGTCTTTCTATCCCTCAGAACCCATTCTGTCTTGTTAAAAATGTCTGAGATGAAGCCCTATGTGGTGGTGCACACCTGTAATCCTAGCACTCAGGAGGCAAAGGCAGGAGGATTTCAAGTTTGAGGACAATCTGGGCTACATAGCGAGACCCTGTCTGAATGAATGAATGAAGAAATAAATAAGAAAGCAAGCAAGCTTGAGAACAGCCTGAAAATTGACAGCCCACACCATAATCATCTAGAGTAGCCTGCCTTTGCAAACCTGCTGAAGTATGCCTGAGCTGCCCAGGGGAGGGTGGGGAGAAGGCATATAGGCTAAAAGTGGGCCCTGTTAACAGGGAATTAGTAATAGTAAGGGATACTTACACTACAAAGAGCTGAGAGGTCTGGGTCAGCCCTGGGTGCACCCCCAGGGTCGACTCTGGCAGACCTACCTGGCTCTACCCACAGGTGTGCCCAGTCCCGGACAGTCACCTGCTTTCCTGTTGCTGTTTCCCTTCAAGGCTATGCTGATTCTACCCACTGGAAAGTCTACATTGTAGCCAGAGGGGCCAATCCTTTGGTCATCTGCGATGGAACTACTCTCTCGGAACTGTAGAAACAGAACTATATAAGGCACAGCTTGGAGAGCTGAAAACCAGGTTAGGTTGAGAGGGGAAATAAAACAAAAATGATGAAATTACTTTCCAGGGGTTGGTTACTTAGTTATCTGCCCTTGGCATGCATGTGTGAGCCAACGGTGTACTGAGACGGTGACCAGAGCCTAGCCCTCCTGCTCTTCAGATGGCTCAGGAAGAATTCCAGCCTGGCTGTTTGCCCAGGACTTTGCCAGCACCCGTCTGTGAGAGACTGTGGGCACTGCAGCTTTGAAGCTGTTCCTCAGGCAGGAAATAGGGCCAGTGCCCTCCTCTACTTGCACTGTGTGGTATGGTCTGCTCTGCTGGCTTCCTGGCAGTGAAGAGAGCATTCAGTAGGTCCCGACTTCAGAGCCATCGTTTACCAGACAGCCTTGCTCATCTGCTGTCTTCCTGGTCACATCACACTGTACTTTGCTGGAAAGCCATACCTGATTAAAGAAATGACTGCAGTCTGTCAAGCAGAAAAAAGATCAAATAATCTGAATTGCCTTTTTAAGAAATGTGGAATGTAGCTCATTGGTAGAGCACTTGCCTATCATATGGAAGACCTCGGGTTTGATCTCCAGCACTGTGAAGAGGTATGGAGATCTCTTTCCTAGTGTCCATAGATCTTGGAGTCTTAGGAATGCCAGGCTGGAGTGTGTTTATAAGCCTAAGAGTAATTCCCAAGGTAACTTTTCCCACCCCGCCACCCATCTTCTGGATGGTTTCTCAGAATCTCAGCTCCTTGGTCTCTCCATTGACTGGGCCAGAGCTGTCATTGCTGAGGCAGCACTGCCCCTGTCCATGGCTGCCTTTACTGTGTCTTCAGAGGGGAATGAGTTAGAGTAGCTGGCCTAGGGAGAGAGGGTGCCTCCCTGAGTTTCATCTTTAGGGTCTGACTTTCTGCAGAGATGTTTTGCAGATGTGTCAAAGCTGATGTTGTAATGTGGTGGGGGAGAGGAGCTTCAGGCTCAAAGTGTTTGCCAGCTGGGTGTGAATACAACTGACTTTGTGATCCTCTGTCCTGACATGGTTTCCCTCTTTGTCCTGGGAGACAAGGTGAGATGTTCTTATTTTTGTAGTGATAAGAAACTGCTTTGATGAGATGACTCACTGTGCTCATTGTTTCCCCCACTTTCTTATGGTATGCATTAATCAGTAAGGACACTGTCATCTTGCTCCCTTTTCCCCCACTTTACTGGTCCTTTATTGACACTGCTAGATCTTTGACCACTGGTCATGCCTCCACAAGCCACACTGTGGCCTCTGGTTCTGAACTGTGGAAGTCACATGGCTGCACATTGTTGTGTATATCAGAGTCACAGACCCAAATCAGACAATGGTGATGGGTCACCTTTTGTGGGTCCTCTTCATCCTTGGAGGAGCCCTGTACACCTTCTCCTTGCATATCTCATGATGAGCAATGGGGACCATCGAGTGCTTGAATGGCCTGCTTATGGGTTTGTAGAGGACAGCAGAGTTCACGGAGCTCAGGGAGGAGACACCCAGAGCTTTCTCTATGGGCTTAAATGAAACTAGGATGAGTTGTACCTGAGGGAATTTTCCTTAAAAGAATCAGCTCCTTGTGTGGCTGAGTGCAGGAAAAACAAAACTTTTGTACATGTAAAAGTCACGCTGCTAAGCGGTTATGATTTAAGAGGTTTGAAATCAGAGGATCATCTAGAGGCCAGCCTTGTGCAAGCTCTTAGAGCTTCTTCAGTGTCCTGCGCCATACAGGGCAGGGTGAGTAAACAGACTCTCAGAGGCCTCACAGAACTTTCTTAAATAGACCCTTTGAGTTAACAAAAGGAGGGGCCTGGGGAGTAGAGCGACTGTTTTGATGATTGAGATCTTTACCTTGTGCTCTCATTTTACTTCTGCCTTTCACATTTTAAATGTCCATAAAGTACTCCAACTCAACTTGAAAATGAAGAAATCCTTGCATGTGTTGGCCTTGGGAGGCATCTTCTGGAAAGTCCCTGAGTCTCAGCTTAGCAACAAATGATTCCAGCTAAAGAGCAGTAAAGGCTCTTGTATATATTCTACTCATTTTACTCATCTGTAGTTAAGACATGAATACAGATTTGTGTTAAGGGAGAAATTCTTCAAAGAGTGTTTTCTGTTCTTAATTACCAGATGCATAGAAGTGATTCACCCTTTTTTGGGGAGGGGGAGGGTGGTATTGGAGTTTGAACTCAGAACTCAGGATCTCTACCACTTAAGCCTCTACTAGCTGCCAGTCCTCCAGGAATGGCTGAAGGCTGCCAGCCAGTCCCTTTCTTGTTCAAGGCTTTGTGTAGGGTGCTGTGGGATGTCCCCACCCTTTGGCCTGTAGACAAAAGTAGCAGAAGTCTCTCTGTGTGACCTGGTGTGGAAAGAGGGTGATCAAGATGAGGAAATAGTGTTAGGAGGCATGATAGGATCACCTAACCAAGTCACTGCTTCCATGCCACAGTAGGAACAAAAACAGGGCTCCAAAAAAGAGGGACTCACTCACAAGTTTATGAAGTGTTAACTAGGAGGTGACATGATGGTGACCTCCATACACAGGTGAGACTCACCTTCTTATAGGTTGCCAACACAGAGCCTTGTGTCCCCAGAAGTCAAGTCTCTGGGGAAGCAGGCTGCTATGGGGCTAGTTTGAAGTATTTATGTCCAGATACCCTGAGTTTTCCAGCAGTCAAGTGTTGAATGCACACCACACCTATCCTGCTTTATGAAGAGGCAGAGTTTAACCTTACCCCATCCTGTCTTAGTAGGAAGGGAAGGAATAAAATAGTGATTTATGAAAACAAATCTACCTATTTGGTGAAATACAAAGCAGTTGCTGAAAGGGGCAGATGTGGTTCATTTTTTCAGAGAAAGGAAGGGTAACATTTGTCTAGTCCATTCCATCTGACAGAGCGCTTCTGCATGCTTGATCTCTTTAATCTTCACCCAGTCTTGTAGAGGAGGTGGCAGTTCCTCCCTTCACTAGGAAACTAGGGCGTAAATCAGGTAACTGACAGGTTCCTGCTGCATCACCTATGGTGCCCAGGAAGAGAGTTGGGTTTTGTTGAGGGGGGGCCTGGAGAACATAGGAATGAGGACCTGTGAGCCAGGGACTCTGCAGGGTTTGTTTTCAGAACTCCTCTGGACAGAAATGGAGGAGGAAAGAATCTAACCATATGATTTTTATAAAAATCCTTTCATTTTTCCCCTCCCCATTTGAAAACTCTTTGTAACAGTGAGTGTAGCTGGAACACAACTGTGTGCAGCCACTTTCCCATCACCACATTTCCAGATGTGTGACCAGAGGAGGTGCTCTGCCCATTTCCAGTTGTGGGTCCCCTCGGAGTTACATCACTTGTTTTTCAGTTCTCAGTTTTCTATTTGCTTCTTCCAAAATCCAGCATAGGTCTCAGTGTAGGAACAATTATTTTAAAATAAAGTCTCAAGTTCCATGGCCACAGGTGCTGACCCAAGTCATTTCAATGTAGTCTGGAATGAGTTTGCTTATTCTGCAGTCGCTGCCATGGTGAATGTCCAGACTAAAAGCAATGCTTCTCAGTATCTCCTTGCCCAGCAGGCAAAGGCCAAGCCGGGGGTGGCGGGCAGGGACCGCCACAGGTCTGGTTGAATGGAGGGGCAATTTTCTCTCCCTCTGGGGAGTCACATACTAAGCAGAGGGGCCTTTAGGCTTTTGAGCTCTTCTGACGATGGAGGCAAAATTTCCGAGAACACAAGTTCCAAGTCTACCTTTCAGTGGTGTCCTCTCACCCAGCAAAATTGGCCTAGGGAAGAGAGTATCAGATGTGCTCTAGCATAGTACTGCTGGTTGAGATTCTCCCCATGTTTGGAGGTGAGGAAGGTGAGGGCACTTATGGAGACAGTCCTATAGCAAATGAAAAATGGAAGGCTCTGGGAATTTGCCAGGTTCCCCACAGCATGTGTATCCCTGTCCTCCTCACCCCAGCCCCCAAGATATACAGCAGTTTCCTCCATAGAAGCATGGCAAGGAGGTGGACAGATGCTCTCCACCCTGTGCCACATAGGCCTGCGCTCCCTGGGCACTATGTAGCTTTAAGTGCTGGCCCTTGGGAGAAGCCCTCCAGCCAGCTTGTCTGCTGTCCAGGCCCCTCGATGTCTGGTTTCCCTGCCCTGCATAATTTGAGCATTAGTGCTAAATACATCTGTCATTTTCCTCTCTCTGGAGACTGAAATGTCCAGACTTCTTCAGACGTGTGGGGAGAAGGAATGTTACATAACTGAGCAGTGGCCTGCAAGTGTGGGAGGGCTGGGCTGGAGACCCTTCTGCCTCTGCTCAGCGCCTCCGTCAGTCAGGCAGTGGTCAGCAGTTCAAGAGTGAGCCACAGCTGCCAGCACCGTGCAGAGGATGGAACCCGGCTGTGAGCTTCAAGTACAATAAGGAGTTGGGTATGTGCTATGTGCCAGGCTTCATTTACCTTACTTTTCTTCACAGCAGCACTGTGGGATCTTCCTGAAAGCCATGTTTACCCCCAGCACAGCAATGTCCTGTCACTTAAGTACAGTCCTGCAGAACGCTTTAGGCCTTTTAGGGACAAACTCTTCCCTATCTATGAGAATCAGTAACAGAACCAATGGACATCTGGATTCCCAGAGCCCCGTCTCATCACAGACAGCAGCTTTCCCTCAACACTTTTTTCCATAACTCTCAGTGCAGAACTATGGCTGGTCTTCCTCACCAGTCCCTCCCTCCCTTTTGTGGAAAAAGGCCAGTGACAGAAGCCTAGGGTGGAGGAAGAGAAGACTAGAGAGTCACAGGCAAGCCAGAGGCTCAGCGTGCAGTGTCTTTCTGCCATCCTCAGGGGCAGAAGTGGGGTGTCTGGGTGGTCCAGTGAGCAGGGGAGGTAGGCACCTGCCCCAACATCGTTGTTGGAATGGTCTGAGGCATTCGTATGTGTTCTCGTGGAGAATGTTGACAGTAATTCAAACTTGTAAAGACTTTGCCGCGTAAAGAATATGTAAATTAAAGTTTTACATAATGGAAGTTTTTACTTTTTGCAATTAAAATTACTTATGTTAGTTGGTAAGAACTTTGCTGTTTGTGTCATTCTTTAATTTCTTGTTTTCTCATGTTTCCTTTTCTCTATAACTCAGGTGGTTTCTATGCACATCCCGCTCGAGGCAGGTCTCACTGGGGTCACGGGCCTCTGACTGGCACTAGCCTCTTCTGACATTCTCGCCTGGTACTGCACTTGCTCACATGCACAGCCTATTTTTTTTTTTAATGGTACTGGGATTTGAACTCAGGGCCTTGCACTTGCTAAGCTGATGCTCTACCCCTTGAGCCACATCCCCAGCTCTGGTCACAAACTCTTTATCCCTGTTCCAACCTTTGCCCACAGTGGCTTCTGATCCGCTCTTCCTATAAATTCTCAAATCTTAGTCCTCCTGCTAACGCTCACCCTGTTCTTGAACTTGCCCAGAATTCAAATGAGCCCTGAGATTCCTTTGATCATCTCACCAGCTGGCTGGTGACCAGGTGCTTCCATAGTGGTGCCTCATCTGGGCTCAGGTGGAGCACTCCAGGCCCCTGCTGGCTCCCTGGGGCTGCCACCAGACAACAAGCCCCTCTTAAGCATTCAGTTAACTCAGTATGGATTTGAGCTTTTGTGATTTCATATTTAGGTGTTTGTGATTTCTTTCTTAGATGTCCACAGTTTTATGAATACACAAACAGGATCATCTCTTATGTGCTGTTTAGTGTCTTATTTCATTTTCCTTTAACATTTGCTGTATCCTCCCTCTTTCCCACATTACCCCTCCCCTTTCCCTGGCAAGGTAAGGTTGTGTGTACACAGTCACACCCTGCCATGTCATTTCCTCCATGCTGGTTTTTTTTTTTTTTTTTTTTTTTTGGTAGTACTGGTGTTTGAACTCAGGGCCTACACCTTGAGCCACTCTACCAGCCCTTTTTTTTGTGAAGGGTTTTTTCGAGATAGGGTCTCACAGAACTATTTGCCCAGGCTGGTTTGAACTTCAATCCTCCTGATCTCTGCTTCCTGAGTAGCATGAACCACCAGCACCTGACTCTTCATGCTCTACCACTTGAGCCATGCCTCCAGCCCTCCCTCCATTCTCTTTAATCATAATCATAATTTTTTTTTGTCATTGTCTTACCAAAAATGGGACCTTATTACAGGCGCTTTCTACATTTTGCTTTTCTTACTCAATACCTGACAGAGTCCTTTGCAGGTCAGCTGGCAATAGCTCATTCTTGATAATAGTTAACATCCTGTGGCATGGGTGTGGCATCGTTTATTCAACTATTCCTGTTTATTCCTATTCCTTTGTATGATGGTTTGGGTTATATGCTGAGAAGTCTGGAGGTGATTTTAAAAATACTTGTTTTTACAAAATATATGTCCTTGTTACAACTCAGGTATGCTCTTCAGAAATCATTCCACTCCAAAGGGGTGGGGGCGTGGCTTAATTGGCAGCTTACCTGCCTAGCAAGTGCGAGGGCCCGAGTTCAACCCCAGTATCACAAAAAACATCATTCCACTCCACAGTTCTATTCATTTACCTGCTTGAAAGTTAGACTTCAAATCTTGCCCCCCCCCAGAAAATTAGTATTTGATTCCATGTTCAGGGGTGACGAAGTAGCCTGATAGCCTGTTTTCAGTCCCCTTGTTTCTCATCCCCCCCAATAGTATTTGACACTAGCTTGTGGAGAATCTCTCCCTCCTTTGGCTTGTGATCCTCACGACTCCCTTCCTGAACCTCCTCTCCTGACAGCTCTGCACCAGAGTGGAACGTGTGCTACAATTCATGAACCTACATTGGCATGTCCTTCTTACCCAAAGCCCACAGTATGCATTAGGCTCACTCCACTCTTCATGTTGCACCTGCTGTTGGTTTGGACAAATACATGACAACATGTACACCATCATAGACTCATCTTAAAGATCTGTGCTCTGGGTTTTTATCCCTCTTTATCCCCAACCACTGGCAACTACTCTATTTTTTGTCTTTTTACAGTCTCTGTAGTTTTTTGTGTTTTCCTGAATGTCATATAGTAGGAGTGAAACAGTATGTAGCTTTTTCAGACTGGTTCCTTAGTAATAGACAGTTTCTTCCACGTCTCTTCTGTTTGACGATGATTTATACTTAGCACTGAGTAATAATTCACGGTCTGGATGTACCAGACCAGATGCATTCGTCTACTGAAGGGCATCTTGGCTGCTTCCAGGTTATGGCAAATGAATCCCTAGTCTGGATGTTTCTAGGAATAAAGCTACTATAAATACCCACGCAGGTGTGTGTGGGTAGAAGGTTGCTGTTTACTTGGCGTGCGATTGCTGGATAACATGGCAGGAGTATGTTTAGTTTTATATGAAACCATCAACTTGTCTTGCAAAGTGGCTCTGCTACTTTGCATCCCCACCAGCCGTGAACGAGTGATTTCATCGCTCTACGTCCTGGCCAGTGTTTGATGTCAGTGTTTGGGATTTTGGCTATTGTAACAGGTGTGCAGTGATGTCTTACTGTTTTAATTTGCATTTCCCCAGTGACATATGATGTTGAGTGTTTTTGTTACTTGCCATCTGTATATCTTTAGTAAGGAGTCTGTTCAGGTCTTTTGCCCATTTTTTTAATTGTTTGTTTTTTATTACTGAGTTCTAAGAGTTCTTTGTGTATTTTGAATAACAGTCCTTATTCAGATGTGTCTTTTAAGTAAGTATGTCCTCCAGTCTTTGGCTCACCTTCTCATTGTCTTAACATTGCCTTGTAGAGCAGTTTTTAATTTTTTCCTTATTGTTTTTTTTTTTTTTTTTTGAGACAGTCTCACTATGTAGACCTGAAAATCTTGATCATCCTGCCTCAGCCTCCTGAGTACTGGGATTACAGGTGTGATTCACCATGCCTGGGCCAGAAATTTTAATGAATTCAGTGCCTACACCTTGAGCCACTCCACCAGCCCAATTTTTTGTGATACGGTTTTTCGAGATAGGGTCTTGCGGAACTATTTGCCTGGGCTGGCTTCGAACCTTGATCCTCCCAATCTCTGCCTCCTAGGATTATAGCATGAGCCACTTGTGCCCAGCAGAAATGTTTAATTTTAATGAAGTTTATCTAATTTTTTTTCTTTCATGGATTATGTATCTGGTATTTTATATTAAAAAATCATCTTTGTACCCAAGGTCACCCAAGTTTTCTTCTATCTTTCAGTTTTATAATTTTGCATTTTGCATTTATATTCAAATCCATTTTGAATTAATTTTTGTGACAGGTGTAGGTCTGTATCCAAATTCATTTTTCTGCATGTCATTTTCTGGTTGCCCAGCACTATCTGTTGAAGAGACTACCTTTGCTCGTTGAGGTGCTCCTACTCTCTTGTCAGTTTCTGGGCCCTATATTGCGTTCCATTGATCTGCTTGTGTGTTCTCTCCCCAGTCCCATGTCACTGTGATGACTGTAGCTTTATACTAAGTCTTGAAGTCAGGTAATGTCAGTCCTCCATTCTCATTCTTCAGTGTTGAGTTAGAGATTGAGTCTTCTGCCCCTCCATGCAAACTTCAGAGCCAGTGTGTTGATATTCACAAAATAAACTGCTGAGATCTTGATTGCGATTGGGATTATATTGACTCTGTAGACCAAGTTGTATCTAGGTTGTTTTCTTGTTTAAAATTACTTTAGTGTGCGTGTGTGTGAGAGCAGACACCCAGGCCCTCACACATGCCAGTCAAGTCCTCTCCCACTGAGGTACATCCCAGCCTCTAGGCTTTTTTTATTGGAAGCTGTAATTCCCATCCCATGATACTATTTCTGAATTCTAATGTCCTTTTTACATAGTGTGAATCCATTTTATGGCTGCACATTCCTCCATGACACATGTCCTTTAGACTGTCCTAACACACCACACTGATAAGCCTCTAGACACTATGCTGAAGACATGCTTCACCAATCTTATTTTTTTCAGAATGACTTTATTTTTATAAAAATGATACATTCTTATTATAAAAAACTGAAGACAGTTTAGGTGATCTTTTGAAAAGCTCCACCCAGTAATAACTAATATTGGGTGAGCTGCATTTATAGACATTTCTATGAGATATCTAGATGGAAGGCTAAATGTAAGTGATTTTATTAAAAATGAGACTGTTCCTAATATCTCAAAAATTAAAATTAGAACTTGGGCCTCCTGGTGCTTACCACAGGCTGTGTTTTGTTTTGTTGCTGGGGCTTGAACTCGGGGCCTACACCTTGAGCCACCCCACCAGCCCTTTTTGTAATGGGTTTTCTCGAGATAGGGTCTCTTGAACTATTTGGGCTTCAAACCACGATCCTGGTGCTCTCTGTCTCCTGAGTAGCTAAGATTACAGGTGTGAGCCACCAGCATCTGGCAGGCTGTGTTCTTTTAGTGACTATATAGAAAGAGGAGGCAAAGTAAACCTACCCCCATATAACCTCAGCCCAGGCCCATGGGGAAAAAAAAGAACTGGGCATGGTGACCACACCTGTAATCCTAACTACCCAAGAGACTGGAAGGAGGATTTGGAGTTTGAGGCCAGATTGGACAATTTATCGTGATTGTTTCAAAATAAAAGTAAAAAGGGCTGGAGGTGTAGCTCAGTGGTAGAGTGCTTACCTAGCATGTACGAGGCCCTGGGTTCAATCCCTAATACTGAAAAAAAAAAAAGTTATAACTCTAACTTTAATTTTATGTGAATCTAACAGAAGAAAAACTGAAGTAGGTGTTTTCTTTCCCACAGAGAATCTTAGGTTCTAAAAGAAACTAAGATGAGCCAGATGCAGGTGGCTCACACCCGTAATCCTAATTACTTGGGAGGCTGAGATTAGGAGGTTCAAGGTTGGAGGCTAACCCAGGCAAATAGTTCTCGAGACCCCATCTCTAAAATAACCAGAGCAAAATGGACTGGAGGTGGCTCAAGTGGTAGAGCACTACTCTTCAAGATTGAAGCCCTGAGTTCAAACTCCAGTCCTACAAAAAAAAGAAAGAAAGAAAGAAACTAAGATGATGAGAAACAGTAAGAAACACTAGAATTTTCCTTACCAAGGGTTCCTTTTCAGATGGCCTGGTTCAGGGCTCTGAGATAAGGAAACACCTTGCTTTCTCCCACCTCATCTCTTTCTCAGCTTGGTGCATATCAATTCCCTCTGTTTTGACATGGACAAAGCCAATGTGTTTGTTTCCTTCTACTCCGAAACCCTAATGTCACAGTGTCCTTCACTTTATATTTAAAATCATTTGTGGCGCACAACCAAGTA